CAATGTGCCACTCCTGAGTTAAGAGACAACATGCCCCTCTCCTCAAGGCTTCCTGTGTAATGGGGGAACAAAATACTTGCAGACATGTAATCACTCAAGTATTTTCTAAGCCCCTTCTCTGGGCGAAGGGACACAAAGACGAGCCAGACACAATACTCTGCGACACATGGAATGGGCACAGGATGAACAGGTGCTTACCAGAAAGGCCCCTGACCCTGGGTGGCTCGGAGGGAGGTGAGGGTCACAGCTTCAACTCACTACCGCCCACACTACTGCAGGGTTCACGTGCTGGGTTGGTCCTATTCAGTACAGCAAGCCCGCCTCATTTGCAGATGTATTACACGCAGTTTTGACCAAATGCAGTCAATAAATAAAATTTCAAAAACGAAAATTTTCAATTCCCACACAGCTTACACAGCTCAGTGGGAGCGGAGAAGCTCTCCATCAGTCCTGAGTTACTGTCAGTTGTGTTTAACTCGTGTGGTCTTGCTTTTTCTTGCCCTTCATTTTATGAGAATCTGCCTTCTGAAAAGCAAATGGTGCCCTCAAACAAGATAAAACTTAATTGAAGTGATAAAGTGAAGACTCAAGATTGGCTGCAAGGCAGCGGCTCTTTATGGGGAAATGGCTCACGCATGCGCAGTGCAGCACTGAGCGCGCATCCTGCGCATGCGCGGTTTTCCTCACTGGCAGATGAGGAAACCATGTACCCTTGGACCCATAGACCGGCAAACACAAGAGTTCCCTGTAGCTATTATTTTATGGATAAGGCATTAGCTTTAGTAAATGGCAGAGGGAGACCCTGATCCCAAGCTCACCCGATTCCGGGCTTTGTGCTCATGCTCATGTGAAGTTGCCTCCAAGCTCACCATGCACCAGCGCTGCTAGAGAGACATCACCATTGCTTGAGTCAGCTTTGACAAAATGCATGAGAAAATAAACTTAAAAGGAGAAAAGGTTTCAGAGGTTCCAGTCCAAGAAGTCCTGTGGCAAAGCAGAGGAGCAAAGTAGCTCAACTCACGGTGGCCAGAAAGCAAGGAGAGAGAAGGGCCAGGGTCCCCATATCCCCTCGAGGACATGCCCCTAGCGATCTACTTCCTCCACTAGACCCCACCTCCTAAAGGTTCCACCACCTCCAAGCAGGACCATCAGTTGGGACCAAGCCTTCAACACATAACTTTTGGGGGCCATTAAAGATACAGACCCTAGCTGGGCACCTGAGCTCATGCCTGTAATCCTAGCTACTTGGGAGGCAGAGATCAGGAGGATTCCGGTTCAAAGCCAGCCTGGGCAAAATAGTTTGTAAGACCCTATATGGAACAAACCCATCACAAAAAGGGCTTGTGGAGTGGCTCAAGGTGTAGGCCCTGAGTTCAAGCCCCAGTATGAAAAAAAAAAAAAAAAAGATCCAGACCCTAACCACCATGAACAAAGAGCAAGAACAGGAAAGAATAACTGACCTGGAAGGTATCTGGAAGGTGTCATGGAGGAGGCATGACTGACAGACCTAGGCGGGATGATTTGCAGGCCTGGCACAGAATCTTTCATTATTCCAGTTAATCCTCTGGGTTATTCCAAGGGGGAGAATTCCCAGGGGTCAAGGCTATTATCCCAACAGCCCAGAGGATGGGGTAATTTTTTTGGGTGGGAAGCTAAGGTGAAGATGAGGAGTCTTTAGGTTACAAGAAACAGAAACCCAGTCATACAAACTTGAGCAAAAAAAAAAAAAAAACCAAAGGCGACAAACCCAAACCAGGGTTCATCTATTTTAAGAATTCAGGCACTTGTGGAATCCAAGAGGCAGAGTGTACTGTGACCCCAAGAGAGATGGTTGGAGACAGGCTAGGACCAGCCACTCTCACCCCTGCTTCTGAGTGTCTTGCAGTAGAAGCAAAGATGCTTCTAAACTCTTCCATGGACCTAACTTCTCTGATCTGTCATTCTAAGTCCCCAGGAAAGGGAATCTTATTCGTGGACCTAACTTCTCTGATCTGTCATTCTAAGTCCCCAGGAAAGGGAATCTTATTTGTATACAGCTATGGGAGGAGGCATGGCTCTTGTCAGAGAATATTTGAGGGGGTAGACCCCCAGAAGTCATGCCAGGTATACTGGAGAGTGTCAGCCTAGGTATCATCAGAACCCAAATTCTAGAGAGAAGGGGCTGGGAGTTTCCCTTTTTACTTGCTCTCTCTGCCTTGTGAGAGCAGAAGTTTAGGAGCAGGTGGAGGAGAGCTTACCAACCTTGGTGGCCAGGGCAACAGAAGGGCAGAGGGGCCAGAGGCTCCAGCTGTGGGCCAGCTGCAAAAATAGGCAGGCTTTTCTGGATAACGCTGCAAAGTCAGTCACAGATAGGCCCTAGAGACCTATCCTGAAGGCTGGGAGAAAAACCAGGACAGTCCCAGCAGCTCTCAAAATGAGCACTGACCTCAGCCAGGTAGAGAAATGGGGAGCAGTGGAAGGGGACACTTCCAGGAGTCTTGGAGAATGGGTTCCTGCACAAGGACAGGAACTGGGAAGGGATCTAATCTGAGCCTAGAGGAAGAAAATGGCTCTGATTCCTCCTTAACCCAGAGCTCCCTCCCAGAGAAGGCAGCAACAGCTGAATCAACATCACTCTTCACATCTCTGACCCCTCCCTCCTCACCATCCGGGGCTCTCACAACACTAGTTCAGGGGCCTTGGCTAAAATGAACAGACAGATGAGCACTATGGTTGGTTTCTCTGGCAGGCAGATGCCAAGACTAGCACCAGGGAGGCAAGGACATTGAGAACAAAGAGGAGAGCATAGAATAGGGGACAGGAAACTTGGGAGTCTAGTGCAGGTTTGAGGGGGCCCTCTCCACTGTCCCTTGTGCTGGAAAAGACTCAGCTAGACAGAAGACCTGGAGGACAGTGTGTCACTGCCACAGTCTCTCCTGCTTCTTGATGCCAGGCCCCCTGCCCATCCCCGGCTGGTGATGTCCTCAGCACAGATTGCAGACAGATGTGGAACTGCTCTGTGGACTTTTAACCCTGCTGTCTACCGGGGTCTTTGCCTTCCACTGTCTTTTGTTCAAACACTCCAGGGGTTGTCACCTGTTTCAGCCAAGTGAAGGGCTGGGGAGGTTGGGAAAGGAGTGTCAGGATGGCTTTTGATAAGATTTAACTATAGAGGCTGTGTTCTTGAGCAGGAGATAATTTAGTTAGTGAATTTGGACAGTTCATTGAATCTGCCCACACAGTTCCACTCACCTTCCAAAACACTTCTAAAATAGCACTAGCCATTGTTCAGGAGCCAAAAAGAAAAGAAAAAGGAAAAAGTAATAAGTGACAAGGCTCCAGAGATTTCTGCCCTTTCAGAAAAAGTCTTTTCCTTAGAAAAGAACTTTTCCAATTTTAAGCTTAAAAACAAAACAGCTGCTTTCTCTTTTTCTCATTGAAGAATCTGGCAAAGAAAGATGCCACAAAGCCAAACACAGGCTTGTGTGAGGCACAAGGGCCAGGTCTTCATGGGATGGATTGGGCAAAGCACTGAAAAGGTGATTCAGATATACTTGTTCCTTACTGTCATTTACATACAGACTCTTGTCAGGGTCATCAAAAAGCCACTGCCTATATCAACAAAACTCCATAGCCAGGGTCCCACCTTCTAGTGGCTTTCCACCAGACATAGCTACAAATAATCACCCTGGGAAGGAGAAAAGCACACGTCATGGGCTCACACACAGAGCAGTAATGTACATGTAGTCTCATACACACGTGTGTAAGTACACCACAGCCCCAGAACCTCACCACCTGGACATTGCTCTCTAGGCTTCCCTCCTCCTATACACCCCCTTTCTTGTGCACCCTGTGCTGGAAGGAGCCAGATGTTCCGTGGGCAGCCCCCTCTGTGGGCTGACAGGCGGTGATTACTGTTGCCAGCCACACATTAGGAGAGGATTGAATGGGCTCCCTACAATAGCGTCTTTGTGAGGTGCTGCACTGCCTTTCTTCCCCCTTCCTCACCAGCCTACGTCAGGAGCAGCTCTGCCTGGGGAGAGAAGAAAGGAAGACAAAAGGAGGATCACAGGACCCTGACTGATCCAGCCCATCCTGGGGCGGAAGGAGGGCTGTGCTTTGGAGAGAACACTGTATCCTACCCACACCCCATCAGGGTAAAAACCCAGAGACTCCCAAGCTGCCAGACACAAAGTCCCTCCAGAGCAAGACTTGCCCATCAGCCAGCCTTGCTTCTGTGTGCTGAACCTGGGATGAGGCCAGGGTGGGAGCCTAGGCAGATTCTAGGCAGTGGAGTACAAATTGTGGAGTTCAAACCATGGAGTTTTTTTCCTCTTTGCCTTGCTGCCTTCCCCAAACTGCCTTCTTCAGGCCAGTGACCAAGGCCAGGTTCCCAGGCCACAAAGGGTTAAGTTGCCAGGACTCTAGGGTGGACTTTAGCCTGCATCCAGGACTGGGGTGGGTAGGTGGGAGGATGAGGGTGGAGAGAGGAAAGTTGAGGATATGTTGGGGAACTGGTGAGACCAGCATCTGGGATGGTCACTGCCCCTCCTCCCTGCCCAAACCGCAGACACTGTGGCAGCAGGAAAATCAGAGCGGTTCAGACTAAGGATTGCACAACCCGACCATGGAGAAGAACGGGTGCTGGAGGTGGGAGTGAGGGTTTGGGCTGGGGGTAGAGCCCACTTTGGAGGTGACACAAGTTCCCACTGTGAACATTTGTAGGCTGCACTCCAGTTTCCACACTTGGCTTCAAAGCTTGTAAGACCCATTTTTTGGTTCAGTGTCTGCTGAGAATTGGAATTGGGAGCCCTGTCCCTGGGCCCCAGAGGCTCTGCGCCATTGGTGGTGGCTGCTGTTGGACAGGACAGTGGTGGGATTCCGCTGCGCCCCCAGGTGTCTCACAGTGAAAGCTGCAACTAGAGTAGTTCTGGCTCCCTCAGTAGAGCCCAGCTAAATCCCTCCTGTGGCTAAGGGGCAGGATAAAAAAGCAGGGCCACCCCCAAACAAACACAGGAGAGGAGCAGTGGATTTTTCTTTTAATGCAAAACGCTGCCATACAAAATGATGTAGAGAAAGCCCCTTTTTTCAGAGAGTGGAGGGGAGAAGTAGGGAGAGGGCAGTTGTTTCCTGTTCCTCTCTCCTGGAGCATACTGGGGGCAAGAATTCTGTCACCTGTGCTTGGGGTTTGCACCCATTTGAGGGTCAGAGCTCTGGATCTGGGTGTTCTGGGCCTCAAACTTGAGGACGTGAGGCAGGAAAGGAGTGAACACTTAAGGTTTTTACTGTTTTAGCTCTAAAGAGATTACACAAGATCTGAAGATCCATGTGAAACAAAGGGTATGAGAATTTGGTTACCACTGGCTAAAAAAAAAAAAAAAAATAAGGGATTTGAGCCAACATTTGCCTACATTTGAAGAATGAGGAACAGGAAGTCTAGTAGGGAGATAAATGTATAGGATAAAAGAGAGTCAAAAAAAAAAAAAAAAAAACAAGGCTAACTTTTCAAACTTCCTCCTCTTTTTTCCTCATCTCCAGCTTATAGACGATCTGGTAGCCGTCATCCCACGCATACAGCTGGCGCTCTCGAGGGTTATAGCGGAGGCTGGCATGGGCACCATATCGGCGGGGAAAATAAGAGAGTGCTGCCTGCTCAGGGGCCAGGGTACCACTGGCATCAAAGGAGCACTGGATGCGGGCACGACTAGCAGGACGGGTGTTATAGACGACATACAGAGTCCCACAGATGACAAAGGCAGCCTCGGCATTCTCTCTGGGACACGGTGTGTCCCACTGCTGCTCTGTGTCCAGTGTCTGTGGATCTAACTTGGCCAGACACAAGTGCCTGTCATCCTCGAGGGTGGCATAGACAGCCCAAAGTCCTTCCTCATCAGCTGCCAGGTCGATGTACGTGTCGGTTGTCAGCCCATAGGGGGGAATCAACCTCTCTGCAGGGAACACTGAGCTGTCCACCACCGTTCGGTTTGCCAGGTGGAATTTGATGAGCTGCAAAGTATTCTCCAACTCACCACCCCCTCCAGGTCCTCCGGGAGGCCTCCGGGCATAATAAAGGAAGCCACCATACACCAACTGTCCTGTGCCCACCCAGGGGAAGGGCACCCGGACTCGGGAAGCTTTCCGGGCAGCCATGGCAAGAGTGAAGTCACGCAGCCTTGGGAAGACAAAGGCTGTGTCATTCTGTGTCCCATCTAACACATAGATCTTCTCTGCTGACCCCAGTGGATCCTTGGTCCATAGACCAGCTGGGCCACCAAATCGCTTCAGGATCTTCATTGATCTCACCTGAGAGATTGTGTAGCCGCAGTCTGGTGGAGCAGGAGAGGAGCAAGGGAAAAGAAAACAGAGGTAAGAGTTAGATGCCAGCAGCAGGAACTCCCCAGAGTGGACTATGGTGACAACTGGTGACAACTGTGGGAATCTGCCCTATGGGTGATGCTTCCACTCTTATGGAAGGTGGAGAGAGAAAAGGCACCAGTGAGGCCTGGTCCCCTAGAAACTCTTTTTTTCTTTCAATACTAGGAATCGAACCCAGGGTCTTCCACATCCAGGAAGCTCTTTACCACTGAGTCACATTTCGAGCCCCAGAACCCCTTCTTAATGGACTTGTCGTTACAGATTTATCGAAAATAGATGCTAAAAGATAGAGCCACCGAGGCCTGTGACATAGAGGAAAAATAAATAAAGGCAGGCTACAGGTCCCAAGAGTATGAGAGGCCTGCTTTGAGGTCACTTACCTGTCACCATATCATACTTCTCATTTCTCCGGCCCTTGCCTTTGGTCCCAGGGCCTCCTGTCACCTTCTCATCAAGCTGTACACAGGATAGAGCTGGGTTCTGGGTCTCCAGATAATCCACCTCTCGCTCAAGACGGTCCACTCTGCCTGAGATGGTGTCAGCCTCAGTTCTGAGCGCCTCCCGCTCCTTCTCTGCCACCTCCAGCAGTGGCAGCATCTTGTTCTTGAAGTCCCGTAGCTCAGCAGCATGGCGACTACTCCAGTCCTGGCACTGGGCCAGCCGTTCCTGAAGGGATGGGGGATCAGGAAGGAGAGCAGGCTGCAGGGTTGCAACTCCCAAGCAGGGAGAGGCCCGGCCAGGGAGTGAGGAATGGGAGCAAACTCTGCTAGGCTTCAACTTCCCTTCCGCTCCCACAGCAAAGAAAATCAGGGTTCAGAGGTGCTAAGTGTGCAAGGAGCCCAGCTCAGATTCACCTAGGCTGGAGTCCTTCAGCCTGTATCGTCTCTGACCTGGATCAATGAGTCAGTCAGTCATCTGGGCCTCCAGGGAGGTCTAAGTGGAGGATGGGAAGGAGATCTCTGCTTCATTATACAATTCTCCCCTTAGGAATTAAGATGCTAAGGACTTCAAAGTGTGAAGAAAAAAAAAATGGGGGTGGGGGGAGGAGGAAGTTGCACATTCCCTGGGAAACTCCAGCTTCCACAGAATAATCAGTTCCTGGGATAGAACCCCACAATCTTGGCCCTTACTTCGACCTTGTCCACTTATTCCACCTAACCCCAGGGCTAACGCGCAAAGATCTATTTGCTTAGGAATTGCTGTACATGGAGAAAGAGGAAGACTTGGAATTTTGAGGATCCTCACTGTTAAAAGGCAGAATTTTCTGTAGGCTCTTACAGCCCCAGAATCCGGATAAACCAGTTGAACCAATAGATGTGGAATCCTCCCAGGCTGGACTAGAAGAGAGAGAAGTCCCTCACCTCCAGGGCAGCTAGTCGGCGTTCCATGTACTCCACAAGGTGGTGCTGCTGTCCTCGAAGGGGTCCGGACCACAACAAAAGGAACAAAAGGAGGAGAGGCGCGCTGGGCCCCATGGCAGCCTGGAAGTGGGGCCAGAGTAGGAGTGTGCACCCGGCCTCTTCCCCTCAGCCTGCGGGAGCCTGGGAGGCGGGGTGGGGGCGGGGCCTTCTCTTTCTGATCTCTGGGTCTCTCTCACTACTCTGGAATGCTTTCACAGTCTCTTTACAACCCCCACCCCTCCTTCCCGCCAGGACTGATCAAACACAGATGGCTGCCCATGCACAGCAGCCAGAAGCCTTAACCACCTCCAGCCTAGGCAGTGGGCTCCTCCGAAGGGGAAAACGATGGTAATCCCCAAGCAATGGCCTACTGGGCAGTCACACAAGAGAAGGGGCAAGCTGCAGAGACAGAGACCACAAAGAAAACTCTACAGTAAACTCCATTCTTGTGTTTCAGGAAAGTTCTCAGTGCTGACTTTGTACACAGATGACATCTTCGTTAATTCTTCCCTTCTCCAGCAAAAGCAGAATGGATTTTCTGCCTTGTTCAGTGATGCTGGAAGCAAGGGAGATGAGTTTTGAGGGGAGGAGGTGGGAAAAAAAAAGCCAAAGGAAAGTTAAACTTCTATAGCTCACTGGTGCCATCTTGTGCTGAGCACTGGGTGCCATCGCTCATGAGTAAACCAAGGCTTAAACTTCACCCCTCTGGAAAATGTCCACAAACAAACCAAGTGGGTTGAATTAATAGGTATATTCTCTTACCAAAACCATGAGTGGTTCAGTGGATCCACGCTAATTTGCATTCATTGATTTAGGGGAGGGGAGAGTCTGAAAAATATGTTGCAGTCTAAAGGAAAATAAATATATCCTGACCCTTCCTATTAGGAGAGAGCACACTACTGAGCATTTCTCTTGGTTAGAGTTCAAAAGGATATTAAGTGTTACTCATTTCTATATCCCAACCAAGGCTATAGGAACCCAAATGAATTGGTCATTGCAAGGTAGGTTTGGCGGGATACAGGCAGTGTCAAAAGAAATCAAGCAAATATAGCATTTATTTAGAAACCTGCAATGGCTGATAGAGACAAATCTCTATTTATTTATCAGGAGAAATTTTACTCACTTTAGAATTAAGAGAAATTGATCGAGGGACTTTTGCTCTAAAAAAGGACCACACTTGTAATAGTGTAGCCACAAAGAAGGGAAAGAGTAACATCTTCCTGTGGTGACTCTCATTTTCCTTCCAACTTCAGATGTTGAGATATGGTAGGAAACAAAGTTTAATCAGCTTATCTCAGAAGCAGCTTACCTACTTCTTTCAAAGGAGCAAAAATGATCTACAGTTAAAGCCTTGGACACCCCATTCATGGGAAGTATTCTCTACCAAACTCTATTCCTATTATGGAGATTTGTATCAGGAATGAAATTATTGGTAATGCTCTACTGATGTCCAAATGCAGTGTCATTTGTTGATCCCTCTGTACCCCTAAGGCAGAAGTAAAAACAGCCACATGAAACAGAAAATTTACCCATTTTATTGATGCATTGCAATTGCTCTACATTTTACCATATTATGTAGAAAATACTGAAAATACAAGCTACTTTGTAAAACCAAAGACAGACATTGAATCCAAAGATAAACTATGTTTTACACAATGGACCCTTTTCCCATAGTTAGTATTAAATTTTTAAATATCTATTTCTTTTGTTAAAATGATTATTTTACATACTCCCTAAGTACATCTGCATTACAAACATAGCTCAGTGATTCTCAGAAACTATCTGTTTCTAGAGGCTTGTTGTAAAGGAAGCACACACCAGAAAAGGGAGAAAGCAAAAGAAATTTAAATCACACACAATAACTAGCATATCAAATACATTTAATAAAGTAGGAATTCCATTGCAATATCAAGGATTCAAAGCAGAAATACTAACATTACATATAATGTACATATAATGTACTGCTACATGGAGTGAGATTATTTTTCAAGCTGAATTGAAACCACACATTATATAAAGTTTAGCAACAAACAACCATGTAGACATGCTGCACCATCCATCAGTTTAAAAAAAAAAAAAAAAAAAAAAAGAAGCAAGCCCGGGCCATTCCTGTCACTGAGAAGCAATCTCATTTCCTAGTCTAAAAACAACCATCTCAACTAGTGGACTTCTGCCTGTCGTGGTGAGTGAAGCCCACCCCTGTGCTTGCCTGGCTGAGGGCAGTCAAGCTCAGTCCCTCTAGTGGAAGAAAATGGATGCACACCACAAAGGCAGGCTCAGAACGGCCAGAGTGGTTTGAGATGCAGTTCTTACTCCTGGGGTTCGCATTTCAGCTGGACCCGGATGGTGGTGCCATCTCCTGGGAGCTTTAAAAACCCTGGAGTGCTCAAGTGTCCCAATGAGACTGGATGGTTAGACTTAACTCTTCCTCACTTCTTCTCTCACCTAGACAGGGAGAAGCTGGAAGTGCAAGTTCTCAGAGAGGACGGAAGGCCTTCAGCTAGTCTGAGGTCAGGCCATGCTGACCCAGGCCAGCTGCACACTACATTCACCGGCCTTCCCCACACCATGACAGCCAGCAGCGCTAAGCTCCAGGGACAGAACCAAAGCCACATCAAGCAGATCCACATTCAGCAGACCAGGTGGATTTTCATCCTGATAAATCTGAAATGCCAATGTGCAGACTAAGACTGAAAATCTCTAAAGTTTTGAAGCCACACACAATAGACAAGCTCCTGGGCATTATCTTCCACGTGGACTCCAGACTCCGATCTTAAATGACATCACGAATTGGATGAGGGGATGGGGTGGGGTTGTTTGTTTGTTTGTTTCCCTGCATCTCATTTCTTACAAAAACAACAAAACCTGTCCCTTGTAGAGGAAAGAAAGATAAGGAACAAAAGATGTTTTGTCAGAAACTAGAAACTAGACCTGCATTTAAACAAGACAAACAACGTGCTTAGCAAAAAGGCGACACAAAGCTCACACACTTACAGAAAGCTGTGTAACACCAGCCACACGCTATACAAATTGCTTGGCTGTCCTAACCACAGAGTGCTGAACACATAACTTAATATAATGACAGAAAAGAAACTCCGAAGACACATGTTCCTGGTGGGCCCCGTTCTGGAAGCCCTTACTCCCCGCGCTGAGGAAACTCCAAAAACTTCGACAGCTCCTCGGTGTTCAACCCGGCACAGAGCTTGCTGCCCGGGCTCCATGAAATCTCCCGTCTCCATCCTGCACCTCCTAGACACCATCTCTACACAGAACCGGTCCTAGAATTACCCCTCAAATGCAAGTTTCAATTCGGATGGACCACATCTGTATCTTAGGGTTATCCTTCTTCCCCCAAATCCTTTATAGGCAGGAATGTCCCATTCCTCAGTACCTGCTACTTGACCCAGATCCGTGGAGGAGCTGAGAGTTCTAGGACAATTTCACAGCTTGAAGGGCCCCAAGAATATACAAGTTTTTACAAAGAAACCTCAAAAGCCTCAATGACTCCACAGGCTGTGGTTCCTTCTTAATATTCTTCACTGATTAAGAAACCTTTCTGTGAGTTTCTTGTCACCAGCAGCACTACAAAGCTCCTCCTTATTGTATGGGGACACGGTAAGCAATACAACAGGCTCTTTGGTATAAATTACACATCTGTTACATGTTTTTTATTTCTTTTTTTCAACAAGCAAATATTTTACTAGCAATGTCAACTACCTGCAGGAAGGACTACCACATGGGAAAAGGGAAAAAAAGATCTCTTTCTAGATTGCACATATTTTTTAGAAATGCATATTTAATATTGGCTTGACTCATCTCACCTGCTTCCTGAATTCTCACAGAAGCAAGGTAGCAGTGAGAGAGCCACATGGGGAAAATGCTTCTGTGAGAACTCAGCTGAGAATCCAAAATGGAAAGGGGTAGAAGTGGCGGTAAAGAAGAAAAGCTGCTGTTTTTATTTTCCTATGTCAGCAGGGAAACTGAGAACAATGCACTTACACAACACGGTAACTAATCCTGTTCTGATAAATCCTGGTGACAGCTAGTGTACACCGGGGCTTGCTGGTCCATCCTAAGGCAAGCTCACTGTAAACTCTAGAATTAACCACTACATCATCATATAAGGCACTACAATAAGGGAAGGGAGGAGGAAGGGAAGGAAAGACACACTGAACAATCCTCACCAGACACACCTGTGCAAAACAATTCCAAGGGTCTCCTCTCCTTGCAGGCAATGCCCCTGCTCACTCACCACTATAGTAATATGCTCTAATAGAAATGCAATTAGTTCACACACATCCCAACAAGTATCAGCTCATTTTGGTTTAAATACAATGGAGACATTAATTCCATCTCCGGGGTAACACTGGAGGATCAGATACACACTAAATACACAATTCAAGTGTAATCACTACACATTTGATTACAAATAACATTTTGGGTTAGCAGGAAAAATTGCTTGTTATATTTTCTAATCAATATGTACACATTTAATTATGCAAAATATTAAAACACCACCATTACAAAACTTCTAAAATATTTTTAAATTCAGTAATAAACTTTTAAAATATTCTTTGCAATTCCTACATGCACTTATTATATAAGTCTTAATAAGAGAGCATTCAATTTGCTGCTGGCATACAAAGGAAGCTACTTTAAAGTATAAAAGCTATACACAACAACGTTCTTATCTGATATCAGATTCTTTAGCTTTCTCCCCAAATAAATCACATAAAACAGATGAGGAAGATGAAGAAAATATAGAGATGAGTTATTGAAAATTCATAGCAATCTTTAGGCAGAGCTCATCAGTACCAGTATCCCACAGTAGAAAGAGATTTTGCATATAGAACACCTACAACACAGTCATGACTACCTTAGTGGCTTTTCTAACAATAAAATTTAATTTGGATCAGAGAAAGAAGGTCTTTTTAAAAATAATTTTTAAAAGAATTCATGGTGCTTAATTTAAAAAAGAACACCTGGTGGTTTCTTGGCTAGGCCCAGATTCTCACACACCTTTGAGTTACCAGGAAATGGTGAGCTGCCTTGGTAACACCACTTTGTAATGAACATAGGAGCAAGTGAGAAATATCTCAATACTTAACCAGTTTTGCGAAAAATAAACACAACTGCCCATTAAGTATAATGCAACATGGAAATAAAACAAAAGCACTTTAAGGTGAAATGTCCCATAAACAAAGATAAACATTTGAGGAGAAATGCCTGATAGTAGA